AATCTGATTGACGTGAAATCGCACGTGTGATGTATCATACTGGTAATGGCGAATTTCATTATTGCTCAGTGCACTGTAATACTTCTAATGTCAGGAAAATTGATAGATTAAAATTTGAAGTGAAATTTGTTGTTAGGCTAAAGTGTTTGTGAAACTAAAAGTTTCATGTTACAAATTCTGCATCAAGAACAGATCTGAAATTAGAATTTCACGTTTCTGTAAGTTCTGGGTGAAGTGGTTTCAACAATAACTGTAGTGTTTTTTGGAACTGTAATAATTATTGATATTGTTTGAGTACTGTTTTCTCAAAACCTTCATATTTTAATGATGTCACCCCTAAAGAAGTGAAAAAAATTACCCGTATGAGAGATAAGTAAAAATTGTAAAATTTTTTAAAATTATTTTTTATTTAAAACATAAAATTAGTGTGAGGCGAAATTCATAAATATGAAGCGAAATGCACAGTATTGCAAGACTAACAAAAGCATTAGGTGGAGCATGTTTTATGATATTGAATAGATAGGTCACGGTTAGATGTAATGTCAATACGACGTGACTTTATATTTTCTATTTTAAATGGAGCACTAATGTTAGTTTATGAATGTAACATGGATCATTTCAGCGGATTATTAAAAAGTCATTAATCAAGTATTAATCCCGATGGAAGTGTGATATCACTAATGATTATAATCATAATGCCAAATAAGGTGCGAAATTTTTGAATTAAATTTAAATTAGAATTGATAAAACTTGCAATTCAAACACTGCATTGAGAAAGTTTTGGAAATTTATATTAATATGTGTTGAATATTTTGGATTTCGATCATTTTTATTACTTTTGAATATTTGTATCATTATTTTTCAGTTTTTGATTAGAGCCTCAAAGTAAAAATATTAAATGCACTCTTAGATTAAAATTTTTTGGCCACTGAAAATAAAAACTGAAACTCAAGTATAAATGTGCAATTTTTTCTCATAATTTAAGTTATAACAAATACGTTTTGACTTTCTATAAATACAATTAAATATGATTTGACCGACGGCAAAAATTGATAGGATAGTTTTGAGTGCTTTTCTTGAAAAAATTTTACTTGAAAATAATAAAATTACAAATTTCACGCATTCATCAAAAAACTTCACGTGTGCTACTTTGTTATTAACTTTTTGCTAGTATAGTAGTCAACTTCAGAATACTGCACCTGATAGCTTTGAAATTGGTAGGCATACCTTGAATCCGTCTTGGGTTTCTTGTCAACTGACATATTTGTTTATAGCAATGAAGTATCGCAACCTAAATTTCGAATTCTGCTTTTGAATGATTATAATTAGCATCAAGTTCTATTCACGCTGCTAATCTGACGTGAAACCTCATATAATCTACATAGTAACGTAGCCTTATATCAGGTTTCGCGTTACTACATAGCTTGTATTTGGGTGTAATAATCATATTAAAGAGGCGTGGCTTCCATTTAGTAAGCAATTTACAGAGATGCAAGATAGTTATGAGAGAAAAAAAGATAATACTAGACATTGGGCTTACAAATTGGAAAAATAAGCAAGTAGATGGTGAAAGAGAGGAAGAAAGAGAAGAAGGGGACTGCCCTCAATTTTCTCTCTTGCTATATCTCTTTTCAGGCTTGCTATTTCAATATTGGCAGCTCAATGCGACGTTATTGCTCCTTTTGCCTCACAGGTGCGTACATTGTTGCATCCTTAAGCAGCGATATGTAAGTCAGTTTCACGTAGATTTATTTTTGCTTGAAGTTAATTTTAGTCATTGAATTGTATTGAATTTTTTATTAATTCGGAGTAAGTTAGCTTAATTCTTAGTTCAATCCAGTAAATATCTTTTCAAATAAAATAAAATTCACACTTTTTTGAAAAAGTTATCTGTGATTTATTGATTGATTGACTGATTGATCGACTTATTTATTATAATATGAAATCAAAATATGGGCTCATTTTTTAAATTGTGTCAAATGAATTCTCGAAAAAATAAACTTTTGAAATTGGTTTATTATTTCATCTAATAAAGTTAAGTTGTCAAATTAAATTGAATTTAAGCTAGTTTTCTAGTGTATGAAAGTATGAAATTAATCATAAAAATGCGCGCATTAAACTTAACCTAGATTGATTTTTAATTATGTAAAAATTTTTTGAGGTCATTTCATTCCTCATTGAATCATAAATTGTAGATTATTTTGGTGATGGTTTTTGAGGCAGAAATGGATGATGATGTGAATTGTACAGTTCCAGAAATACCATTAGCACGTTTCGAAGATGATACTGATCTTATCAAAGTTACCTCACAACAGTCGTAAGCAAATTCATTTTATTTACATTTCTCTACCATCAATTTTATGCATAACTCAGAGGAAAATATTTTGTTGTATTTCTCGAAAATGCGAGAAAAAATTGTTTTTTTTGTTTTGTTTACTTGCATTTCATTTTATTTATTAAATAAATAAAAGTCTTTAATAATTTTTTCAGTTGTTTTTGCTTTATTTATCTAACTAATTCATTTTTTATTATAGGTTTAATAATTGATTTCTGCTTAACTTCTGAAATAAACAGTTATCAGATTTTTATTGATAAGAGTATGTTTATGAAAGTGATAGCTTGAATATTGCTTCAGCGAAATTCATTGATTGCTACGAAGAGTTTCTTTTTCCGTTCATCTTTTCACATTTATATAGTTCTATTTTTATTTAACATTTGATTTTATACTTTTATTCATAAAATCAGAATAATGAAACATGTATTTGTTAAGAAATTTTATTATTTATTCAGTTTCATTCCTTCTGTGTATTTGTTTTATTCACTTCAATCTTTTGCCTGTCTACCCCATTAATTTTGTCTTAATTAGTCACTTAGTCTTAGCTACGAAAAATGATAGTTTTTTGTTCTCAAAAATTTAATCCTATTAAAATCATAAACTTGAAAAAAGCTTTTTGCTTTTTTTGTTTGTTTGCTTTTTTGTTTTTACTTTTTACGAATTTTTTGTGATGCTAATGGTAAATTTATTTTTCAGAAAATTATTTCCAATTTCCAGTTAAATTTTTTAATATATAAAACTGTAACTGACTTAATTACTTTTGTGCTTCATTGTGAGTAATTGCGCTATTTAAAAAGTTTGTAAAAAATGATTTTTGACTTTGTGACTCAAAAAATAGCTCGTAATTAATCGGCACTAAAAAAATATATAAAATGAAGTGAGACTGTTTATTTCGGTCTATTTTCTTGTATTCTACAGTGTTCTCATTCCTATATTTCTAGTGTTCCATATGTATTGTAAATAATTCATCGATATTGATTATCTCTAATTAATCTGTGTATTATAAAGTCACTGTTAAGGACATTGCAGTGCTAAATTGAATTATGTGTTTGAGATTGTTCGTTCTTAATTTAGGCTAAACTAATTAGATAATTGATTAAGTATTTGATTAGTAAACTCAGGAATTTACTTGTTACCACTCTGATTTTAATAATTCTAATAAAAAATATTGAGATATTTGGAATATTTTTCAAGAAATTATAGCCAAATTTTCGCTTTCGAAATTAAAATACACGAAATTTTATTGAAAATCAATATTGAATTGCAACATAAAATCTCTCTTTTCTGTCGTTCACCTAAATTGACAATCAGCGAACTATTTAGGTTATGAATGAATATTAGCAAAGATTTTACAGTTAGTTTCAATTTTCCATCTAAAATTGAATTAATTATTTTTGGAATAGTTCTCGTTTTAGTGATATAATTAATTAATGACTGATATTCGTCTTAAATTAAATTAACTGCAAAAATAAATGAAATCCACTCATGGTAAGGTGAGAGTTAAAAAGTGATATGGATGATAATGATGATATCACTAGTATGATAGTTGTCTTATTAGTTGTTTCCAGGTTATTGATTGCTTTATTTGGTATACTTTTGGCTTAAACATGAATATTTATAATTTTGGTGCTTTTGGAAACAAAATAGAGATATATGTTGTTGTTTGAATTTATTCCTTTAATTTAGTTTAAATTCTAATTCAGAAATTATTGATACCATTATAAAATAGTAATATGGAAGAAAAAGAGAGTAGTATGGTTCTGCTTGCTTTTTATACCTTAAATGATGGTATAATTTGACTAACGGTATTGTTATTGTTTATGATAATTTGATTTGCCTTATACTATTGTTACTGGAATTTAAGAGGATATTAGAAAATGATGGTGATTGGAACATATCAATAACGATAATATTAATAATTGTAATGTATTGTCATAATGTGAACGAAAAGTGAGCATTAGATGTAATTGTAGTAGTAGTATTGATGATCGTAGTAATGCTCTAAAAAATGTCAATTAATCACACAGCTTAAATGAGTATTTATTTTAAATTTGCGTATTATTTCATTTCTTTTACTTCAATAAATGCTAATCTTTATTATTACACTCTGTTCATATCACTTTTAGACTGTAAACAATATAGTGATATTTAAAACAATACATTTTCTATCCGATTTTTTTTTCTTATGCTAAATTTTTGAAATGATATGCAACTAAATGTTAGTAGAGCAGACTAAATATGTTGTGCAAAAAGTGATTGAGCGCTAAAAGATTATCGGAGTGAAAGTTGGATTATTGATTATTTTGGGGAAACTTTTCTCTTGAGATTTTGAGAGTATTTTGAAGAAACTTTTCCTCAAGGAGTTGATTAATAGATTTGGTTAATAGTAATTATTAAAAGAATCAATAATCTAACTAGACAGCTATCTGATGATAATAGCTAAATTGAGTTAGGTACTTATTTTTAGCTGATTATTCCACTGGATACTGCCATCTAAATCACTGCTCATGAATATTATAAATAGCAATGACAATAAATAGAAAAATAAATATGCTGTAGGTTTTTTTCTATCAAGAAATAACAGAATAGTTGTATCCCTATCAGTATTGTCAAACAAATTATACCCTGTTATTGTCTGAACCATGTGTTTTAGTGATGCAAATTAGATCACTGAGCAAGGTCATTAAACTAGTAATTATGCTGATAATGATAGAGAACCAATATTGTTCATATATTCAGGGATTTTTTTCCTTTCTTCCTTTTTAATGTGTGATAAAAATGATCTGATCATAATTTTGTTCAAGAAAATTATAAAAGCTATAATTATGATTTAGGTCATTATTTTATCATCTAGAAGTATGCTAATACTATGATGCTGACAAAAAAGAATCATCAAGTCATAATATTTCATTCTTATCTAATACTGCTAATGAAAATGAAAGTAAAGATTGAAAAAAAACTAGACAAGTGGGCGTAAGATTTAAATTGAAGAACTGGAATAGAAAAGATATATTTTGAGTGCAAACGAAGGCATTGAAAACCTATTTATGCACATCGTTAAAGTCTACATTTGGCAGATAACAGAGTGGATTTGAGGCTTATTCACGGCAAGAAAATGTTGGTCAATGCTACAAGATGAATAGAAATGTTTTGCTAGTTCGGGCTTAAGTCAGTATCATAGCTAAACTGCTCGTTTTTCCTTTTAAAATTCACTATTTCTTCCGCAAGTTGTGTTTTTATAGTTGTTTATTTTCTGATATTAAGTCCATTTTACAGTGATTGTTTGTTGGAAGAAATTGAAAATTAATGAAATTTGAATATAAGTAATTTGATTTATAATTTATATCATTTTTGAATCAGAAATCAAATGGCTAAAATTTCATTTTAGTTTCAGACCTAAAGATATGTGATTTGAATATTTTTGTTTCAAATAATACTTATTGTTTAAAAATTTTTCCAACACATTATTATTATTATCATTAGTTTATAACTACTGTCATTAATATTATTGCTATTTTAAGGATTGTAATATAAAGAGTAACAGTCGTCAAGTAACGTGATATTGCACATCAATCACTTCACTTTCATCTCATGTCATCACCATTTGTTTGGAGTGTTTAAATTTTACTGAAAAACCCGAGATGAATTATTTTGAAAGTATTTTCTCGCATATATTTGTGATATATGCTGCTAGTACTGAAGTAATGGATGATTCAATACTTTAATGCAGTATTAATAATTCTGATGATTATGATGCAAAAACAATAATGATAATAATTTTTTTACAGATTTGGGGATTATTGAAGTGCAGTGAAATTGCTAGTTGCGGCATAATTCGTGCTTAAAACTTTGAATATTTAGCAGTTAGAACTTTATTTTGTTTAATGTTAGCATAATTTATTAGTTTTGTTTAACAATTATAGATGTATAATGTTAGATTATAGCACCTTTATTTTCAGTTCATTGTTTGTTATTAACTCAGATTTGTTAGTTTTAATATGAATTCTCAGCAGTGAAAGTGATAATGATAATAATAGTAATCTTTAATCATAATATTATTAATAGCATATGACGTATTGTTTTTTGTTAGTTATGTGCTTGTTTAATAGTCAGCAAATAGATCAGGAATTCTTCGGTAGAAAAGATTGTGGAAAATGTAATCCATTTTCCGGATGCTTTGATATTATGATTTGTAGCACGATATGTTTAACTCAAAAATGTAAATTAAAAAAAGCAATCTAGTAAAGTGATAAATTTTTGTTAGTATCATTTTGATTATTTATAAAAAATATTATTCGCTAAAATATTCACTGGTTTTTCATCACGCATGAAAAGTATTGCAGGCATGTGTTCATTACTGAACTACTGGTGAATTATTATGTGTATTAGAAAAAAATTGAATATCTCAGCTGGGCATATTTTTATTCTTCAACTAAAATAAAGTTCAAGTATTAAAATAGTGTTATGAGTACGAAATAGAAATAAGAAATATGATGTAAGTTGATTTTTATTCAAATGATTCCAAATATGAAAGCGCATATTTTAATGAAAATGCTGCTACTCTATATGATGTGTAGTGCAGATATCAATCATATAACAATGCTTAAGCTTATAATATTTTTTGGGAGTATTAGCAATTTTATTTATTGTGTAAAGATTGGAAGAATTTTTTCTGGTGAATAATAAAAAGTTTATGAACTGCAATTCAGTTTGTTGGTTATTGATTTTTCAATAAACAGCAAAAGTATTCACGACAAGAGTTGACTTCTAGTAGTCAGTAAAATGCACTTCGTTATTTCCAAATAAAATATTTGGGATTTGAAAGCGAAGTATTATTGATGACAATGATGTTATTTTTGTTGAAATGGTATAAAAACTGTTTATTATCGATTCCGCTATGTTAAATATTATTTATTTACTCCATATATGTATTAAGTAAGACAGAAACAATTGATTCAAAATATTGATTTTTTATTATTTTAGCTCTATCCTGAAATTCTAAAAAATTGTTCAAAAAACGAAAATATCAATTTTTAGTTGATGAATTAATTAATTTGTTTTGTAAGTATATAATATGGTTATATGATTGATTTTGCAGGACAAGTGATTGCGAGAATAATTTGGAAGAAAATTTTGAGATTGAAAATTTGTCGGGAAGTTTGGAAGACTTAGTGGGTACTTTCGATCAGAAAATTTCTAATTGTTTCAAAGATCTAAATGAAGGTACTGAAGAAATAGCACCGGTGCAGGTGCGGTCACAAGAAGAAATTATGACTGACAGCCAGTGAGTTACAATTTTTCGAAGAACTTTTTGCTTTGATTATGAATATAAGCCATAAGTATTATTGTCAGTAATGGTATTATTCGTAACAACTCACGAGTAATACAAACATTAGTAAATATAACTCAATTATCTTGATTTATTTGGTTCTAAAATGATAGGTTTTGTAGGTGTTCAAGTGGATGATCAACTCTTTAAATCAGTTAATCAGTGAAAAATTTTAAAAGCTAAAAAAAGTTTTACTTTCTTATTGCTTGATTCCTTATGTGCTTCAAGTATATCAAAAGATTAAATTGTTTTCTGAATCCATTTGTAAACATTATTCTAAAAATTAGTATTAATAAATATATCCATCACTTCGGGAACAACTGCAATTTTTCAAGTTCAAAATGTGTGAGAAAAAAGCGAAATTCATCATGCAAAATACTTTGCTATTCTTGGTTGCGTATACAAATTTAGCTTACTGAAATTCACTTGAATTGTTTGGTCACCGTAGCAGAGGCTTGTAAATATTGATTAACTCATTATTTGACTTTGCGCGCAGTAATTTACTTTCATTAATTAATGTAAGTAATTTTAGCCATATTTTAGAGAAGATATTTTGAGTCATTATTTTTAATTTGAAAAGATTCTTGAGGGATAGTGAACGAGTAATTTCTTTGAGTACTTGTTTTTTGAGCGAAAGTAACTTGAAAGATTCAAAATAGAATGTCAGACCAGTAATAGTGCATCGAGACATAGAAATATTTATGATTCCATGACTAGTGATTCCAGCTTTTTTGTAGAAATGAAAAAATAAAGTGCTTTGAAAATTAGATTTTACTTGATGTTTAAATTTGTCTGTTTGCACATCACTTTCATTCACGAAGTAGTTATTAATTTAAAGAAATATGAGATATCGCAGTATATCTTTGTCTATGATATGAAATCAATATTACGACGAGTTTTAATCAAATTATAATCGACGAGGAATAACACAAAATATATATACATATGGAATTCAGAAAATATTATTTAATTATAGAAAAAGGCTTGAAATTTAAGTTGATTAAAAAAAGTTTGTGTGAAATCTTGGCATTAATTTTTGATTAAATAATGTTCACTGCATATTACTCTGACTTTGATGTATAGTTATTGAAGGCAGTCGTATTATTTTTTCCAATTTTCTTGAAAGAGCTACTTAAAATAAAATTAAGTGCTGGAAAAATAAGAGTTTTGCAGGATCTGGTGGACTTTGACTGGAAATTTTGGTAATATGCCACCATTGGATTTCTCGAAAACACAAACAAGGCGGCTTCAATTACCAGCACTTAATCTTCAGCCTCGTAAGGTATGTTTTTATTAATGATTGTTTGAGCAAATCATTGTTGCATTATGCGTTGAAACTACCAGATTGAAATCTCGTTTTTAACACTGACAGTTCTTTTATTTGATTTGACGTACTGTAATTTAAGCTCAAAAACAAAAGTTACTGCATTTTAACGGAGAGCACGAAAGAAGTTATGATTTTATTATGCATTATGCAAATTTGTATTAGAATTTATTAAATGGCAATTAAAGTCTGCATGAAAGTCTTGAGATTATACAAAAAAGTGATTTTCAGTAATTTTAAGGATTAAATGGGATGTGAATAAGTAGTGATCATTCTGAGAATTTGAAATTGAGTCAACGAAAGTTTTCTAGTATTTTGAGCTGAGTCAACGAATGTATGATTGTTTTGAGACCTTTTTCGAACTTTTTGATCTACTAAGTTTTTTTTTCAGTTTGAATACATTTGTTAGAAAGTGTAAAGAAAAAGAACCTTAAAAGTCTTGTTGATATAAGATGCAACAAAATGAAAAAAGCATTATGGGATCTTTATGACACACTAGAAGCTAGCGATAAAATTCATCATATAATTACTGTAAGCAATAACACGCATTAGCTGTTTCATTAATAGCTACTGTATGTTAATGTGGCACTTTAATTTATTCGTAATGTGACTTTTTTTTTTAAATATTGGGGTGGATATTGTGCTTTTTAGAACTTAAAAATTCTGAGGCATTAAATTTCATTTTTTCTTAAATTGCCTGGAATTAATTTTTGAGGTTTTGATATTTGATATCTAAAGTTCTGAAGGGTCAATATTTTGAGAGAAATTAAAGAATATGAAAAATTGCAAATTATGTTCAGCTATTTGAAAATTTAGCATACACTGATTGCGATGTATTGTCTGAAAGTCAAAAATTTGCATATAAATTAAGTATTCTATTTCGATGTGCCAAAAAATGTTGAGAAAGTAGTATTTATAATACGATTTAACATTAAAATTTTCAAGTTTTTGTGATATTTTTCATGTAAAACGAAGCAAAAACGATCCTTAGGGATTATTTTGCGTTCTATTAAAGATGTGAATTTCATTACTAGCTACTGCATGCTTGCAGTTGAACAATGTTTCATTCTTTTCTTGGTTTATTTTTTGCTTTATTTCAGTCAAAGTAGGACAAACATTTCGTTGCTAAAAAGTAAAAAAAAGCTGAAGTTTGGATTTTTAAAAAGTCTTGTGTACTATTTTTGTAGGTCTATTTATATAATTACTAATATTTAGCTAATTCTGAAAGTATTGTCATAAAATAATGTGTCATCATTTTAATATTAATTTTGCTAATTTACTACCATGTATTGGTACTGCTGTTGCTGGTGATTTTTCACTTAATGATAATTTTTCTTACTATAAATTAGTGGAGAGTAGTGCAAGCGTTATGATGATAAGACAGGAAAAAGTAAGTTAATTTACAGAATATTTATTTTGTAATGAAAACTGTCTTGTTGTGAAAATTTTTGAACAAATATTCTACTTTATATTTGTTTTACTGCTCTCATATTTGAAGCAACTTGCTCTCTTAAATTTCGTTAATAGTAGTTTAGATGGCGTTTTTAACGTTAATTATTTTGCTATATATGTATATTAAAGTTATTCAATTTTGGCTCTATAAATTAAGCACAATTGGCCAGATTATTTTATTTATTCTGATTAAGAGGCTTTACTAGGAGCAAAATGACCCTGGAATAGATTTATTGGAAGAAGAAGAAGAAGAATTGAGAAGTGCTTTGGACATGCATCAGCTAATAAGTCAACATGGACCTTTATCTGAATCACCTCCGCAAACAGCTGATCAAGTGATCGAAGAAATTGACCAAATGCTACAAGTAATTAATTTTTTTCATTTTTTATTTTATTTTGTAAAATATGGAATTTAATTAAACTAAATCAGAAAAGAGATGGCGATCAGGCCTTAACAAGTATAAATATTGCTTTTTTTTCTGAATAATTTATTTCTTGTGATTGATTATAATTTGTAATTTATCGAAAGATAGATCAATATTCCAGTCATGTGACTTTTCGGGATCAGTAATGACAGATCATACGATGGAATCGGTGGATAGCATGTATTCATCGATGCGTTCACCGTTATCAAGTGGACAGTATGAAATGGATATCAAATTACGACAAGCTACTGCTATTACATCTAATCCAGAAAGTAATTATTCTTTTAAAAAGACAGTCTTTATTTTCATTAAAAAATAAATCTCAAGGGTATTGAGTGTGCATGAAATAATTATAATCAGTTCGTGAATTCGGATTGAAAACATTGGGATGTAATATTGCTATGACTGATTTATTTGAGAATATTTCTCTCGTTTTGCGAATGAATGAATATTAATGATTACTGATTTCTTCTTCTTTTTCTAGGGCTGGAAGGTAAGTTTTATGCATTTCCATCCAGTTCGTGCTTGATTTTGTTGGAATATGTTAAGTAGTAGTGATTTTTGCATGATTTATCTGATATTGGCTAATTTAATTTTTATATTGCGAATCAAATAAGATTTGAAGAGACAAAAAGCTGCTGAAAATTGGAAATTGGTAGAAGAATAAGCAGAACAGTCCAATACTGTTATTTCTAATTTGGATTTTTGTCAAGTAAAAAAATTTCCAGTGAAAAAATGCTTTTTTGTTAATTTCAATCTCGTATATTTTGTTAACTTTCTACCATTCTTTTTCTTTTTAAACGAGCTAATATTATAATTTTAGTGTTATTATTGTAAATTTTTATGTCTTATATCGCATGATGTTTTTGTTTGGTCAAAAAATTGTGTATTTGTAAATTGATCATTAATCATGTGTTTAAAAAAATTGCAGATTTAGAATCATTTTCATATAGTCGACTGCTTGCACTGAGCGCAGAAATGGAACAACTTATACAAGTAAATATATTTCGATTGAATTTATTTTAAATGGTATTCAAAAATTGATAAATTATACTTGACTGAATTGTGATCAATAAATATGGGTAAATTTCTTGTGGTCATGTAAATTGCAGTGATATAATAATACAGTTACAGAGTAATAAGGTTGATAAAATCTGTGTCAGATAAATTTTAGATTTTAATAATCATCTAGCTATTCAGGTTTATAATGACAGCTTAGTGGAACAGCTAGCGCATCGCGATGAATTAGAATATGAAAAGGAGATGAAGAATTCATTTATTTCTTTATTATTATCGATACAGAATCGACAAAAACATTTTACTAATGAACGAAAACGGAAAGCACTGAAAATTGATCCTTCACAATTGCCACAAGTAGGGAATTATCATTTTTCTTTGGCAATAATTTTAAATGTATTCAGAAATACTAAAAAAATTTAGCGATAGTTTTATATATCAATTTACTTCAATATGTTTAGTATATGACAGCTACAATTCCATACGATGAAAATCGACTCTCCTTGGATATGAATACATTGATGGCGCTTGTTAAATGTCATCATTACAGATATTTTCTTTTCAATATTTTTATTGATTATGAATTTGAAAATGCTTCATTTCTGCTGTTGCACATTACTTCAGTATAATTGTGACTGATCGTACATAATATTTCAGTTTAACAGTATTGAACTTTTTCACTTTATGAGTGATTTTTTTTTTTTAATATCAGGTAAAAAAATAAAAACTTATTTGAATTGGTATAAAATTAGATTAATTCAATTTTGAATGTTAGTATTATGCTTGACAGTATTATTTATATTGGTACATTTTAGTACTACGAGCAATTGATGAGGATAATCCGGCCGTGCCTGGAATGCTTACGAACTATATCTTGACTGGTATTATTTTCAGTTATCTAATCTGAAATAAATATTAATTCGGTTATTATGAAAATAGTTATAATTATGTAGCAGATTTTGGTTTGAAAAGATGCATCTTTTGCAAACTGTTTTGGATTCTTATTTCTCAAGTTATTTTTGTCTTTATGCTGCTCATTTCCTCTGTGCTATATTTGTCTTATTAAAATATATTAATAGTTAAAGTAAGGAAAATAAGCAGTTCTTAAAGAGAAAACATTTTTTATTACAAGAAAATCCATGCATAAAAATGTATGTAATCATTAGAAGATATCATAAATACAAAAAAATTATCAGTAGAAATGGCCATGATTAATTATTCGTTAAAAAGCACCTATTATTATTTTGCGATGGCGGAAAATTTTACCACTTTTATGAATGGATTATTTCAGTCCTGTGCCCGTCAGCGTCATCACCAGTTATCTCAGATTTGGTGGCCTAAAATTTTAATTTGAAATCAAAGATAATGTCATGGCTAACTCTTCAGAAAACCATTATAACGGCTTGTGCTGATTACTGCTATTGTTGCTGCTTTTTTTTTGTTTTGCAAATTATTCAGCTATTTATTTATATATATGGTCGTGAAATAGTCATACAATACTTGTTATACGTGTATGTGTCGATATTCCACTCTCTGAGTCATTGTATTCCTTCTTATCACTACTTCATAAGTTGATAATTTGTTAAAGCAGTTTTGTATTTTATTAATCTTTGGTAGAAAACGAGTCTATCTATTATATCACGTAAGATTGCGAAGTATAACCGGTGCTTAAGAAGCAATTGTCCCCATATCTTCGTTTAGACGTTGAACTTCGTTAGTAATTTATATAATTCCATGACTGCTGGGAAACTTTATTTGCAGTCATAAAATTATATGAATTGCTAGCATCTGCACATTTATATATCACAGTTAAGATCTATACCACTGACACTTTCGTATTTATATTTGATCATACTTTTTGTTTCTCTCTACTTTTAAGCATCAGAGATCATTCATTTTCAATACACACTGCTTTGAATCATAATTTCTGCGAACTTATGTAGATGTTTCTTCTGCAATTTTTGTCTTTATCAACGATCTCTTTACGGCTTTCCAAAAAATTAGACAGCTGACATTTAGTTAATTTATCTCGTGCATCTTGGAATTATTTTTGATCCTATGTGTTGAACACATTGTCCCTGCCTCTTTTAAATAAAACATAACAGTCGGATTAATTTGCGAAATCCTGGTATTGTCGATGCTCAGCAGTGTAACAGAATACTTGTCGAACACAATTTTGGTACAATTTATTTAATCCAAGAGTATTTACAATCCATCATTTTAAAATGCTGCATATTTTAATCTTGATTCGACATAGTCAAATCGTAAATTTAATGCAGCTTAATATAATTTCATTATGTCTTATGGCTTGTCTGTGTACATTATATATAAGTTCAAAAACTCATAAACATCGCAAGGTGTGACGTTGCCTTAGTGCTACTTCTGCTGATGTTTCAGTCGGCATCTTTAGATATCTTCGTAACTCAGAAGAAATATCAATGCCAATTGGAGATCGTGAGGAGACTAAAATACTTGGGGGGATTTTTTCGGCCGAGATAATGGAAGCTGCTCTGAAAGTTTCGAAATATCACTAAAAACAAGTGAACATACTTTCCGTTTCGAAACATCTTAAGCAATACTACAAATGGATGATAAATTTATACAAAGTCAGTCAATCCAGGTCAAATTCACAAGTAATTGATGTCATTACTGATAGGACGGTAATTTGTAAACATAAATTTACGTTGCATACCTTTTTGCTAGCAATTGTTGACCATTCCAAGCTATCATTTCTGCATTGTCACAGCAGTACATTGGTGGAGGAGCAAAAATATTATATCCAAGAGATTCACAAACATTTCTAAGCATGCTCAATATATATTTGTTTGAAGCAACACCTCCGGAAACAAAAACCAGTCGATTACAAACAGGTATCTGTAGAAAAATTTAAGACCTTAGCTTTTTGATTAATACCGGTTGAAAAATAAAATGTGAATCTGTAGAGGATATCAATAGACAGAAGTTTCTATTTAAGCTAAGATAATGCAGAGGCAGAATGAGTTAGAGCGAAGTTTTATTTCACGAATTTATGCATAAAACTACAAGATACCTTATTGGATTCATTTAAATATTGCAAGCAATGGCGAAGTTTCTCTGCTAGATAACTCGCAACTGAATGCTGAAAGATGTTGCCGCGGCATTAAGTTTCAAAATTCAGTCAACACAAAGGATAAAACATTGAAAACTTTATGACCTATAATACCTGTACACTTGCACAAAAATCCGGTACATTGACATTGCAATGCTTTGAAATCTTGACTAGATACGCAGATTTAATCCATGAAAAGTTGAAATGTAAGGTCATCTTCAAGAATCTTTCAATATCGATTAGATATCGACTAAAGCCTTCAGCAGATGATCTGAATTATATTTGTTTTAACTTTATGTAAACAAACTGATAGAAATGAGCTGGATAGTGAAAGCAATAAAGTTTGTAAAGTGGACAAAAAGTTCGAACATGCCTAGAAGCCATCACTTCTAAGGCAGCTCCTGGATGCATATGTAGCAATTCAGGATCAGTGAAATCAAGGCTTCGTCCTATTTTATCCAAGCATTCACCAGGGCTACCAGAAATGCTGAATAAAAGTACATCAAAATCATCTGGTCCATTGGTTACGGCTATGATACAATGTCCACCAGAAATTAGCAGCGAAACATAAGGATACAAGATTGGTTTCAGCAAAGTGGCAATCGTTGCATGAGCTTGCATGTGATGCACTGATATCAACGGTAGCCGTCCTTTTCTAAACATAAGTATATCTCTTTCTTGATCCACAAAAAAATCCCTGCTTTAAAGCTTGCAGATGAAATGCAAATGCAACTTAGCTTGGTTTAAAAGAAGAAAATTTCGACGAGAAATCAGAAATCAAAAGATGTTGAAGCAGTTGAATTATATTAAATCAAAGAATGTAATAATAAATTAGAGGTCTTCAAAAAATGATATTGGCTGCTTGTAAAGAGGAAAATCAATAATTAAAAATGTCAGAGTTTCACGAAAAGATTTTGTTGCAGACGATTAAGTAGATTGTAAGAAAATACATTATATTTGTTTTGTATGCTGCTTTTTCTAGCTTATTTCAAATGAATGAGCCAGATATATTTAGAAAATCACTTTGCTAAAGACACTGCTTTTGAAACGCCAACCCGAAGAGAAATGACTAATCCAGGTTTAGTGGTAACAGCCAAACCGCTCAAGTCACAGAGTCGCATACCGCTTTCATTCAAACATTCATCAACAAATCGTTCAATATACGAACGATGCTATAAACATAACGCGATACATCATCGTCAAAACAGACAACAATATATATATCTTATTATTTAATGCCAGTGACTATATTATTTATTAATGCCTAACTTATTTCCAAACTTCAATTTGCCAGAAAGTACCTGATTTTTTAATACGTGAGATGAGAACGAAACACTTACTTGATCAGCCGCTACTGCCGGACATATTCCACCAAGTCTTTTTTGTACGTCGCGATTTGCGTAACGACGAGAACTGAGAATTTCTTTGCTGCTTTTCAAAATACATACCGCCGTATCATCACAGCTGACCTCAAATTTATCATTACAAGCAATGCAAAGTAATCGTCATACTATATGCATCTAAAACTTTCAATTCAGTTATTAAAAGCAAACCATTGTACAATGATCTTGTTTGCTAAAAATGTAGAAAAGAATTACAAGTACTGACGCACAAGATTTTTCTCTACAACCAATCTTGAAGTTCTTAATCTTGGGGAACAAATATTTTATTGAAAAACTTTGATTTATTTTATTACTGATTCCTCCTTTAACAAATCAAATCATTTAATGTCAATAAAAACTTCAACCACTGCAATTACTCTCGCAGATCCTCTCTAATTCTTGGCTAAAACGTGCTTGTATATTTTATTGCAATCAGCGATTTCCTTAATTTTCGGAAGAAACGAAAAAACGAAATTCCTATTTCAAACAATATCAATCCATTATTTTATCCTTTTAAACAACATTCAAATATACCACTAGATATTCTTTGCAAATAAACCGTACGTAAATTATAAGAATGTCAAGTTTCTGAAGTTACGACCAGAACTTTTAAAAAGAACTTCTGAGTATAAATTTTTTGATATTGTTTGAAATAGGAATTCCGAACATTTTCTTGCTAAAGTGTTTAGTGAATGGATTCGAATGACGGATAATTACGAACTTTAGAAAAGCTGAAAATTAGTGCATCAAATAATACCTGCCTAAATACCTGCTTTTTACGCTACCTCTTCAAACAGCTTACTATCCATTGCTGCAATCTACAGTATTATATTTAAGAATCGATATAAATCCTTAATTTTTATTATGAATTTTGAACAATTCCAAAAAACTACTTCAAAAAACACTATTATTACAGTGATGAGAAATTTTACCCAGTGTCTGTAATCGTGAAATTAAATTTCTATGATGATTCACTTTTTTAAGGATTATAATTTTGAGCCTGAGTTTCTAGCTTTCTCACATAAGTTGTTGAAGCTATCACCTTGTTTCTATGCCCATAATCGCTGCTGCTTTGCGATTTATTATAATATACAAATTTGAACGGGTAGCTCGCAGAAAGCGACCAGTCTTGCCCATATAATTAAGGATGTTATTACTATTCATGCTTGAAAATAATGGAAAAAAGTGGTATCCTGCAATAGTAAAAATATTAACATAATTTTTTAGCACCAAAATCACAACAAATGAAATAAAGAAACAGTGTGTACTTTACTTTGTTTCATTCTGCTAGTGAATCTATTCGTTTGCGCATTCTATGTGAAATTAGGAAACTCATTCAACTCATATAATTCCAATTGGCAATTACATACGTAAGGAATTCTGATTAAAATATATTTTGTAAAATATAAAAAATTAAAAATTCACACAACTGATAAGTGGGATACACTTTGATCAGTAAATGATGTATCAATGATTAAGCAAAGATTTAGCTCTTAGCTCTACGATTCCTGTGACATGAGTATTCTTCTAAACAAAAACTATGACTCAAAATTCGCAAAATCAATATCTGACACCAAAGTAATTGCACTTTACTCGCAGACAAATTCACAGAATCAGTACTTCAACTAACCTTTTAATCACTACTGAAATGCTACTAATTTGTATTTAAAAATTACTGTTTTGTAACTGTCTTTGAAATACTCTTACTAGTAAATTCAGAAAATGTTGCATACTCAAATACAGTCATTTTAACATCGATAATGCAAATTTACCTGCAAAAAGTCAAGTATTTCTCTAACGCACAATGTTCAAGTCATCTCTATTTCTCTTTTCTTGCATCTATTTTGACTGTATTTTGTCTAATCACCAAGATCTTGCAGTTTTGTTTTACTCTCATTGTCTGTTTATCTTTGATTTCACTGTCTTTTTAGTCGATTGCCTACTGGTCCTAAATTTTGCTTATGACAAAAGGAAATGATCCAATAGGCGTCTGCGACTGCGTTGCGTGCCATTCTATCATTCTGTTGGAGTTTAGTGGGGTCTGCAGGTGAAACGTTAGAAATTGGTGCAATGAGTAATATGAGTGCACGAGTTTACGTTGGACGCTTGTCCTATCGAGCGTCAGAACGTGATATTGAACACTTTTTCCGTGGTTACGGACGCATACGTGACATAGTACTCAAAAATGGCTTTGGTTTTGTGGTAAGTCCTTTTATATCAATACAGGTGATCTGATTTAATTTCTGAAAATAAAAATTGCATTGCATTTATGAATTGATGTAATGTGAAATTTATGAATTGATGTCATGTGAAGATCAGCATTTTTCAAAGCATTATAATACTTTTATTTAGTTTTTTTCAAACATCTGGTAGCATTTGCTTGTTAGAGTAATTTTTATTATTAGATTTACGTTCCTTTAGTTTGTTACACGTGTGACGTTTAGCGTCATGTTGTCAGAAAAGAACATTGAGGCAAAAAATGGGATATTCATGAAGTGGAAATTATCCGTGAATAATTTTGGGGATTTTTCATGTGGCTGAAAGGTTTTAATAAATAAAGTTCGTGGTCTTGTAATTTAACATTAAAACTGTTTGTCTATAGATATGATAGCTTTATTATCATGAAGATAAGGTTTTATAGGAATTTGATGATCCACGCGATGCAGATGATGCTGTCTATGAACTGAACGGGAAAGAATTATGTGGTGAGCGCGTAATATTGGAGTTTTCACGTCGTGGACCCAGGAGTCGCATGGGATTCGGTGGGTTTGATCGATTTCCGCCACCGAGAAGGGAATCAAGGTAAATACAGCTTTATTTTTTGGAAATTTCTCGAGTAATGAAAATGTGCTTATTAATATCGTTGTTTAACTTTCAGATATGGCCCACCACAGCAAACTCGATATCGACTAATTGTTGAAAACCTTTCGTCTCGTTGTTCGTGGCAGGTGAGATAACGTATTGTTGGAACGTTCTTTGCGATCACCTGATGCATTGGTCGTTATTTGAGGGATGTAAACGTGTAAAGGGAAGGAGGTACACCACGCGCTCGCGACAAAGCCTGTAATATTACTGGAACGCAGAAAAAAGGGCCAGATTTCAGATCCTTGGCAATACCTTTATTTAGGGTGTTTCCAAATTTTGGAAAGATAGAGTTCGGAAATATCATTATTCTCTGTCTAATTCATCATCGAATGCGTAATATATGCATAGCTTATAAACGCTTTCGATGATGACTTATGATGATGAGGATGAGAAGACCAAATTGGCCAGGAGGTAGTCGCGAGCTGGTGCAGCTCAGAATGGTTAATCAGTGGTACGTAGGCGTGTTGTGTTATTGGTGCGTTCGAGCCGGGGCTCGTGATTTGGTACTTGTTACGTTTCGTTCTGATGTCGCAAATTGAGGCTAGTGGTGGTGGTGTATTGCCGCATCGTGAGGGCCACATCAGAACATGATCTGGTCAGTTCTCTAAAAATAAATTCGATCTTTCGTATCGCTGAAACAAAAAGGTATTTGACGTTTGTCAGATCAAACTATTGGATAGTAAGTCTGTTTTGTTGTTGGGTGAGGAATCCTTTTCATCGAGAAGTTGTATTATCGTCGTATTTCCTGTTCCGATTTTGCTGTATTTATTCTCAGTTTGATGCCTGTATTGTTATTTGATTTGAGAAATATGGACTTGAATTAATGCAGTCTCTGTAATGTTTATTGAGATGTATGTTGTTTTCTTATTCTACGTGTATTATTGATATGTCAAACGGTAAGTTTCTCTGTATTTGGATTTCTAGAGTGTACATAAGCCTATTGTGGATGAGAAATATGTTATTTACCATCTTGTCTACATGGACATTGATATCGTATTGTAAATGAAATTTTTTCAGGATCTCAAAGATATTATGCGGACAGCTGGTGAAGTTACTTTTGCCGATGCCCACAAGCAACATCCGAACGAAGGGTGCAGTTTCATTTCCCTGTTTCTCAACCCTAGGAATTTTTATAAATTTATTTTAATTCAAAAATATTTTTTAGCATTGTTTGTTTTCTCACACGGGACGACCTCGAAAGGGCTCTTGATAAGTTGCAAGGTAAAGAAGTCAATGGACGTAAATTGAAATTGATTGACGATTCTGAGCGACGAGATAGTCGAAGGTATTAATATATTTGTAGAATTAAAAAGTGTCAAGACTTGTATTGAAATTAGTTTTAATTATTGTATCAGTGGCTAATGTTTTGTTATAACTAACGTTTATATTGGGATCTGTTTCCAACATTTATATATTTCAGTCGTTCCCGTTCACGCCATCGTTCTCGTTCACGCTCGCGCAGCTCTCGCAGTCGTTCATCTCGTTCTCGAACTGGTTCTAAGTCACGTTCACCTACTCCAAAAAGGGATGGCGAGGGTTCAAAGTCTCGTAGTCGTTCTGGAAGTGGTCGATCTCGTTCTCGATCAAGAGATGATCGTTCTTGTGAAAGAAATAGAGATGAGAACCGTACAGGAGCTACTGAGAATGGTAATGGTGTTGAGCGTAGTGCTACGAGAGCTAGTGATGAACCAATGAAAGATGAAAGTCCAGAACATAATAACGATTATAACTGAATATAGTTGAATTAGTTCACAAGGCAAACTGTCATGTCATATTCACTTTGAAAATATTCAAAGTTAACATGTCATTACTCAGTATACATTTTATTTCTAAGTTTCCCAGTTTTTGAATTTTCAAGTGTTCAGGATATTGTTGCATTTAATCTATCATGTTAGCACAGTGTTGAGCGAAATGTGGATTTTTTGGTAATTGTCGTTTAATAATGTTCTATAAATTTGCGGAGTGGGGTGCATATAGCAGTCACTACATATTTGTCAGTTATAAAATAGTGTGGTCTATTTCTCATGACTGTACGATCAAATATTTTCGTATGATTTGTAGTGTGTTTTGTCAGTTTTTCCATTAAGGAATCACATTATTGATGTATCGTTCTGGATATGGGAAACTTGTTTCTCAGGTGGGGACATTAATAGTTTAGTAGTCGGGATTATGTATTGAAATTGTACCACTTCGATTTTATTGTTACAAAAATAGTCTATTATGGAAAGTTCTCATCGAATAAAGTTGCTTTACTGTCTGACAATTAGATTAATGCGAGACTTCTTTACGACGCTCACCTACGTGTAACATTTCTATGTTGATAAATAAGTCTGGTATTCTTTAGTCAAGAGTGTATACCGCATAGTAGCCTACATTCAGTGAAGAATGGGAAAGTTCCACTCTTTATATTCTCACATTTGTTGCATGACGGTGAGGGCTATTAGAGCAAATTGAAACAGTAAGTGGACTAATTTGAAACAGTATGTAAACTCGTGACTGGCTAGCATTGCGCATTGCTATTTATCTAGTCTAGTGGGGGGTGGTTTGTCTCGAGTTTTGTCGAAAACCGGAATTGCAGTGGCACACTGGTTAATGGATGATGGGGACGAGATACCAGAGTTTAGTCCTGGGAAGGTTCGTTATATGTTGCGAAGCGTTGTAGCTTTAGTTTGGTACACTTTCGCAAAATACGCAGCGGATTCTTGGTGTTTATTGAATAGTTGACTTCCTTTTCTGATATTGACAAGATGAAACGTCTACTTTAAGTATATTACTCTTGTAGTTTGACCTCTTGTAATGCATTGATATGTTGCACACTTTCTATATAAGTTGAGGAGAAAGAATTGCAGTTCATGTACTGTTACTTGAGAGGCTGTCAATGCATGAATGTTAATTTCCTGAATTGTCTAGCGATGCAGTTGGTCCTTCTGATTAGTAATTATGATGGTTTTCGCACAGTGTCGTATACAAAGTAAAGAAAAGCTAATTGGACATCATGTGTATCAATTTTCGCATACAGTATGTAGAGAGGAGAGTAAAGCACTGTGAGAGGAATTATCTATTAGATAAGTTATGAGGTGGGCTGTACTGTTTATGGGTCAGGAACGATAGACAACGGTATGCTTGTTTTGCTTCGGTCACGTCATGACCTCGCGGAGCGTTATCTACCTGTTCATGCAGTTTCCTCCGTCTTACAAATTTTGCAATTTATATCCTTTTAATCTGTTGAGTATTTTGCAGATATTTCCTTTCTTCAACACGTCATCAATATATACACTGTATGCAACAAAAATATTCCACTATAGCTGATAAAATTAAGAGCAAATATTTGTATTTATTTACAGTAAATAAAGATAGGAATATGGAAATTGAGTTAAGTGTTTGATAAGAGTAATGATTTGTACTACTAATTGTTGTCAGAAGAGGTAATTTATTCAAGAGTTGGACTCAAGTTTGGTGAGCTATTTTATGTTATAGATTTTAGTCTCAAAGAAAAACTGCTAAATATTAGTTTACATGCAGTAAATACTTAGCCGCTGATGAATGACAGACTGCATTGTTCGAAATATCGTAATTAAAAAAATCAGATTTCAGAGCTATCATAACTTATAGTGCTAGTATCATATCACATATAGAATTACAGTAGTACTCCTGTACTGATATTGACTGAATATGTCAGATGAAATTGTAGTTATTAAGTCAGTAAAAAAGTATATCTAAATGGTGGGAGATCATTGTTGGTTACAATAATTAAATCATGCCTGTGATTGGTGCTGTAATTGAGAAAATCACCAGTAAAATTGTAATGGTTGCAATACAATTGATAAAGTAATATAATTTTGGTTACTAAATATGCAAATTTTTTAAGTTCTCAAGTACTGTAGTAATTTAGATCATTCATGGACAGTGGAAAGTAGTGGAGAAAATTGGAGCTGGTGGCTGTGGTGCAGTATATGAAGTGCTCCACGTTAAGCGTAAAAATTATGCAGCAGCACTTAAAGTAAAGTATTTCCTTTTGCAGTTGTCATTTAAGTTTAATGTTTTTTGAAGAATTATAGTAAAAATTTATGTACTTATCGATAAATTGGTTGCAGCTAGATTAATAGAACAATTATTGATGGTAATTTACTTTTTTTTTAAAGTTTTTAATGTCTACAGTATATTTTTAGTGCTTACAATATACAAACAGTATTTGCTCTAGGTTTTTTTCATATTCAAACTTAAATTGTCACTGGTATTCACTAATGTGATTAAGGTTACTGCATGTACTGAGATGAAATTGGTTTATTTGCTATCATTTTTTGATTCAAAAAAATTTATTGCGAAAATTTTTTCATTTAATGAGTTGAACTATGAATTACAGTGATAATGTTTTAAAATAAAGCAGTAGTATGAACTAAAATAGGAAATATAATTTAGGTTTCAGGATGAATTTCATATTGCAATTCTTATTTTAATTTTTTTGAGTGCAATTTAACATTTATAGTATAAATTTTAATGAATTTCATATAAATTAATCAGGTAAAATAGATCTGTCTTGTATTTTGAAGAAATTAATAAATTTCAAGGTTGAATCGACATCATTACCGGATGGTGGAGTATTAAAATTAGAAGCATATGTGCTAGCAAAATTGAGTAATGCTTCGAAACACACTATTCGTTTACTTCATTCCGGTAAAAGACCCAAATACAGGTTAATTAAAATTTATTCAAGTTAATTTTACAATATATCACATTATTTTATGCTTTGATCATCTTTGAACTTACATTAATATTCCGGACTGTCAATAAACATGAGTTTGCATTTCAAAAAATTGAAAGCAATTTTATTTTTGAATAAAATGCTGTACTCTTTCAAAATTTTCAGTTATTGCAAGTTCTTTAAGAAAATCAAAATCAAATTTTAATCCAATTTAGTTTCTGATTAAAAATTTCTACTCTTTGAAATTGCAGATATTTTTAGAACTTTAGTACTGAGTTATGGACATTTAGTTTCTTCGAGTTACAAAAATTTTGATAAGAGTGTTTCATCTGTATTCTTGATTATGCGTGAAAGCAACTTTGAATACTTTTTCGGAGACAAATTGTCTAAAAAATAATTTTAAGGAAAATCACTTGCAGCTTTTAACTTTTGACTTGAAAATTATATGCCATTAGGCTAAATTTTTAACTTAAATTATTTGTAACCGTTCTCTCTTACAGCGATGATCTAAGTAATTAATTATAGTCTTAATTTTATTGATTTATTTTTGTGATACTTGTCATATTCTGAATACTCATAAAATTTCAGTTTTATTGTGATGACATTATGTGGTCCAGACTTAATGTTTCTAAGAAAAATGAAAGGTGCAAACAAGATAAAACGGGATGATGATCATTTCTCATTTGAAACAACATTACGAATTGGAGTGCATTGCTTGTTTGCTATTAAAATGGTAACTTGTTTTTGTTTTTTTAAGTCATTTTTGTATATTAATCGTATTCAAATTCCATCATTTAGTTTATTTATTTATCTTAAAAATAGTAATATCAGTAAGATATATTTGAGTTATTCTAGCTAATATGCAAATTTTCACTAATTTGTTGATCTAATATGACCAAAATCTTTCATTGTCAGGATATATGCATATTTTCGAATTGATATGAAATTTTTTGATCCGATTCCATTTCATGTTTTTAGTAGTAAAATATATGTAATTTGTATCATATTTAACTTATTTCTGTTGGAGAAAAAATATGCATATTTATAAATGCAGCTGCAGCATGCATTACAGTGATATTTAGTTTTGAGTTTATTGAAAGCATTTTCAATAGCTTCATGAAATCGGCTTTGTACACCGAGACGTGAAACCCGGCAATATGGTAATTGGAATCAATGGACGAGATTGTAGAACGATTTTCATGGTCGATTATGGTAATAATCACGATTAAAGAATTATTGTAATTAACATTTTATAAATAAATTTATTAGTGGAAAAGAGTTCAAAATGAAACTTGAAGTTGTGAGGAGAAATCGAATTATAAAAAAATGAATTTAAAAATTAAGGCATGGTAAGATCATTTGCACTGGAAGACTCTGCTAGCAAGAAAGTAGCGTTACGGAAACCGCGTAAAAAAGTTTTGTTACGTGGAACGCTACGTTATTGCTCTCCAAACGTTCACCGGCGTATGGAACAGGTTATAATAGGGACTTTTTTTTTAAAAATTCGCGTTTTTCTAGAAGAATTTATTATTATTTACTAGTAAAATTGATTTTTTTTGTTCGACAAATTAATTTATTATATATCTAAATTCAAATTTCGTAAATGAAATTTATAAAAAATATTTATTCACTTGCAGTACATACAATTTATTTTTCAAAACGTATAAATATAGTTAAATATAACAAAAAATTAAAACAAAGCATTTACAAATGAGCTCAATAAATTGATGTAAAAATATAATTGTAATTACAAAAATTTTTAGGGTAGAGGTGACGATTTGCTATCTCTCCTCTATATGCTGATTGAGCTTTGTTGTGGCCTACCGTGGAGTGCAGTTAAAGATGAAAAAGTACTGTTGAAAATGAAAGAAAGCATTACAACAGACAAACTTTTTAAAGTAAATCTTTTAAACTTCTGAAAGCAAGAAATATTTTGTATGTATTTACTGTTTGTTTGTACAAAGTTCATAAGATTTTTTCAAATTTCATATCAACTAATTTTGATATTATTTATAATCAACAAATACTTACTTCTTCGTTAAAATAATTGATCACACTTTAAAAAATACTATTTTTTGTTTCTTTCATTTATTTTATAATATTGTCTTACTCTATCAGCGTCAAAAAATACAATACATATTAGTGATGTTATTTTTCCGTCGATATTTTTTGCAATCTTAATAATATCACTGTTAAAACAGATAATGAAAGCAAATTAACGCATGATTGGTGTTTTGTATAAATTTAATGTTAATAAAGCAAGTAATCAAATCTAAATATTCTAATATCATTTGCAGATGGCTCCTACTGAATTTGCTCCAATATATAATCATTTGAAATCATTAGAATACAAAGATCGGCCAAATTATAAATTTATTTATGATCAGGTCAGTCGGTCAAACTCATTTAACGTGTATTTAATATGTTAATAATCTGATATACTAGTTAGTAATCATATCTATCATTCAGTTATTTTTATTAATGTTTATCAATATCATTAATAGTTTATAGGTTTGAAAACATAAAATGAATTGTTGCTGATGATTAATTGTATGCAAGTGCCTTTATTTTATACAGCAAAATTCATATTTGAATTCAAATGTGAATGAAATATCATATTGAATGAACAAAGGATTGGTTGATTAACTGAATGACTGATCAAATTTTAAAAAATAAAAAGCCAATTAATTTTATAAACTACAATATATTGTAGTTTATGAAAGGCATTCGACGATTAAAAGTATTTTTTCGAGATGCATATGATTGGGAAGATGATAAAGATATTCAGGAAGCACGGCATTTGGAAACATCCCTTTCATTCCACGAAGAAGACAAGCGATTTACTAGCAAAAAAGGACGAAGAAAAGTTTGTGACGGTAATTTGATAAATATCATCATCGATTATTGATTTGACTATTATAAATTATTGATTGACTTATTAGTAAAAAAAGTACGACTTTTTACTGATTAGTTTTAAGCTTATAGAAAGGTTTTATGAAATTTTTTAATTTTTTCCATTATTTTCCATGAAAAAATTGTACAGTTTCAATTTTTTATCTTGTAAATATCAAAATTGATTTCGTTTTCTTTACAATTTAAATTATGGTGACTGTTGTGCCCATAATTTTGTCCTTTATTATACTGGCTAAGATTCGTTCGTATATTATTATGCCAAATATTAACAATGTGATGAAAAAATTCATGTAATTTGCTACATATACTAAATTTATCTGTTAATGGTCCAAAAGAGAAGGAAAAACATGTAATATTTTGGTTGCGCTTGATTTCCATCTTATAATTTAATAGATTGTTTTTTAGGTTTAGATCTACTCAACTCTCAGACCTAACTTTAATTAAACATTTAATCTTTGTAATAGTTGACTATATTTGCAGATCCATATTATCTTGATCATCGATTTTACCCAACAACTGATCCAAAACATTTTGAAGAAAAATTGATGCCACTATAAATTGGAATATGTGAATGTTGGGAAAATACTCGATACGTTAATATATAAATATAAAATTTAGAATTTATTATAATACTTTTAAACAATATTTGTACATTACATTTTTTAAATAATTACATATCATTTCAGTGGAAATAATTAAGTACTATTGTCATTCACTTAATGCGATCATCAGTAAAATATCTTTATAAATGTCAGCTGAACTTTTCTAATAAATTTTTTTTTTCAACTTCAGAGAGCGCCCAATATTTCAGTTCTTCATTTCTGGGAGATTTTTTGCTATCATTGAACTTATTGATTTAGTACGAGCAGTCAAACTATTTAAAACTGTAAAAATGCTATCTAAAAAATCCTGCCCTATCATAAATTATATTTATTCATCACTGAAATGGACTACATTAAGTATTGTTACTCAAAAGTGGAATATGTGCTAACATTCTTGTCAACACTCATTCCTTTTAGTTCTCAGGAATATTATTTTCTTATTATTTAAATGTTTTTATTATTATGCATTGATTTTATTACAAAATGCATTTTTACACGGAAGTATTATATAGCACATGAAATGTAGAAAAAGAGCAGAAGAAATGAGCATTAAAAATCCAAATAAATTAATTCATGTAATGTTATGTTTGGAAGGAATTGGTACGACTTTGAATAAGACACTGCCATCATCACTTTTAGTGCAAGAATACATCTGCAAAGTTCTTGATTGAAACCAGCGAAGGATTGATACAAGGATTAAGGGTTTCCTTCTTTTAAAAAAGATCTCTTGTGATTAAATGCTTGAAAAGTTGGATACAAAATATTGTAAAGGACTGAAAACATTTGAGAACGATGTTATTGGCTTCTTTGTTTGCTTAGTAAAATGAGGGATATCCCACGGTTCATAAAAATTAAACTGATATAAATGAAATGTTTATAAAAACTACTTTGGATAAAATCTATAGGAGCTTGCTGATCTTTCAGTTATGCTATTCATAAATTCTCTTCGAATTAAGATTAAGTACATTTTACAATAAAATAAGTGAGGTGTTTTTTATAAAGATTTTTTGAGCAAGATCCTTTTTTTTGTAATTTTTCAAATTTAAACATTTAATTTTTTACTTTAAACATTCTCATGCTTTATTATTGTACGAAAATAATTCATTTGATTAGCAATTTGTTTGTTTGCTACAATTAGTTTTATAAACGATTATTTAAATTTTATGTCAGTTTAATTTTTATCTTCATGTCCTAACCAAATGCATCCCTTATATGGCAAATAACCAGTGCTCCGTTTTTTATAAATAAATTAGTTTACGATTTATTTTATTGAAAATAAGTTTTATTAAGTGATTTGGCAATTGATTTTCGTAGTAAATAAGTTCGCAATTTTTTGATCACTAAATAATTAAGTAATTAAAGGTTTATTTGTATGAAACGGTATCTACTTTTTAGCAATTGTTGATAATAGCAATTCAAAAATTTGTAAAACGCACTACAAAATTAATAATCGATTAGTTTATTGTATAATCAGTTGATTTATTATTAGTTAATCAATTAATTAGTTAATTACCTAATTGAATCACCTGAAAGGGGTCAAATGAAATGTTGAAAATTGCGCAATAAAAGTGAGTTGTAATTTGATTTCTGTGTAACTGTAATAAAAATGTATGTTTTAAGTATTTTACCATGCCATTAAAAGTATAATTTGAATTGAGATCGATGACTGAACCGTCAACGGTGCAAGCTTCTATAGTGATTGCACCTCCATCAGCACATTTTTTGATAAAATTCTTATTTTCAATCCATCTCAAAAATAATTATCACTGATTGGTCAATAATTCATTAATTGGCTGATTGAAATTTTAATCCTTTATTCAATTTGGTACTAAAGTTTGTAAAATTTTTAATTTGAAATTTTTGGTTCGACGTGCAAAACCTGAAATTGTTAGCAAGTAATAAGTTTTGGTGTAAAAAAACAAATGTAATTATCAAAAAAAGTAAAATATAAGACGAACGTTTCACCGATTTGTTTACGTATACCATTCACAATACAGTAAATTGGGCCCTTCTGAGAAATTGTTCTTATAATTCGCTGATATTCGCGTGTGAGAATCACTGTACCATTACCGTTATCTTGACAGCTATAAAAATAGTCTCAATAATAATAGTAATAATAATAATAATACAACAAATATTAATAGTAGTACTAAATACGTAATAATGATTAATATTTGTGAAGAAAAGTATGATACAAATGTTATTTTTGATCAATGAGCATCCATTAATTATTGATGAAAATGAGTCAGATGTTTGTGCTGAAATTTGAAATACAAAAGGAATAACCATTTCTGATTAATAAGCAAATAATATCTTAAAATTTATGTGTAATTGAAATTAATTATTTAGCAGTAATTAATATTCCTTCTGTATAAAAGTTAAAAATGGGCATAATAATCCAGTTAATAACAATTACTAATTAACACATACTTACTCACTACATTTGCTGAATAATATCCGCTCAGTATTAATTTCATTAATTAGTATTTACTTAATTGCCGCTTTCATTAATTAAAATGAGCTCTGTTATTTGCTTCACTATTATAGCACAAGAAAAGCTGAAGCACTGTACATTGATATTTTTTTTTCAAATTGATAGTTATTTAATCATGATTATGATTAATTAATATTTCTTAACTATCATATCTAGCATTCATTTTTGATTAATAATATTTATTAATTTCAATTTGCTAGTTGATTGCTATATAGATTTCTTATAATTTTTTTCGTGAGTGTAATAAACTTCACAATTAATTTATATAAACTGAAAATGAAATGGCTAAAACACATTAATTTTGTAATATTAATGATTTTGAAACTTCAGAAATTAAGTAAACATCAATAACTCGCAACAAATAACATCAAATATTTAATGTGCCTGATTCTTTGTAACTAACTATAATATCAAGAATAATTATTGATTGATTATTTATAGTTAAATATAAATTATTGAGTTGAATTTTGGATAAAATATTGTGGACGATAAAACTCATCTGATGTACTATTTTACATATTTTTAATTATTATGATAATTATGTCGATCATTGTTGAATAATTATCTTCGCCTTCATATTATTTTTGCCGTCATAATTTGTTATAAAAAATCTGATACGAGTAATCATAGTAATTGGATGATTTTAAAAAGTTTATGAGCAACTGATTTCCGACTTATAATTTGATAACTGATTAAATCTATATTACAAACATATATCGAGTTCCATTAACTACGATTGTTGTGTTCAACTCAATCGGGAAAGCACTTTCAGTCAAACAGTTCACGATGTGTGTACCTGTTGTAGTACATGTTTTATTGAAGTTCTTTTTACTGATCCACCAATCGCCTAAATAATTGAATGAATCGATAATGATCGAATCAAATATAAATTCAGTTATTAATGATTGAATACATAATTATTTCTGCTTTCATATTATTTTTGTCGTCGTCATAACTTGTTGTACAAAATCAGATACATAAATAATGAAAGTAATCAGATTGTTAATGATTTTAACAAGTTTTGATTTCCAATTTGTAATGTGATAAAATCGATCATTATTAATTCGTATTAATAAGAATATGCTTAATTAAAGCACTGTGTTAAATAACTTACCTAGATTATGACCTTCGCAGCTAATGTTCCAGAGAAAATAATTTTTCTGTATTCGATATATCCCAGAATCTAACCTTGAACATTTTAATTTCTGCAATATTTAAAATGCAAAAATTTGAGTTCAAAGTTCAATAATCTTTAAGAAATACTATTTGTGAAAAAAGTAACATTTTTGTTTTCAAAGCAGTGCGTGCATATCAGTAAATTGAAACAAATAGCTGCATATTTTTCGATTAATAATAGCATTTCGAGTAATTTTTATTGAAGTTATCTTCATGAAATAACAAGAAAGCAACACTTTTTCTTCTTAAATTCAACAAAGTGATTTATCACTTTGTGAACAACTTAATTTTTAATAAAAATCCCATTTTAATTAATAATATTAAATTAATAATTGTAATTTGATTTTTTAAATAGTAAATAATTGATATTAGTATTTACTATTAATATACTTATTATTTAGCACTTATTAATATTTGCATTAATTTATTGTCAATAATTTTGCGATATTTAAGGTAAAATTTTAAGTAAAATATTAACATAAATAATGCGCTAATTTTAAAGTTTATGTAGTTTTTAATATTTATAAATTATGCAAAAGATAAATCACAAACCACATTATTTTCAACAATTTCTTCACCATCACGTATTTCTACACCTTTTGGTGTTTGGCATGCTATAATATCTGCTCGCCACGAACCATCTGGGAAAGTTCTACATTCGAAAACAAATGCGGACCGTACCACCTGTAATCACAGTTATTATTTATTGTTTTTATTACCATTAATAATAACAGTAATAATAATAATAATAATAATAATAATAAATATTAGTACTGCATTACAGCATTATAACTAAATCAAAAATATGTGTGAATGTGTATTGGAAACCCTTCGGAAATCTTTTTTTGCATGCGAATTAGTTATTTATCCACAATGAAAGAGCAGAAAGATCAAATACGATCTGTAAATTATTCTATCAATAAGTTTTTAAGTTCAAAGTTAAAAAACAATTTTCATATACTATAAAAAATGACCATAAAAATTTGCATAAATATTTTTAACTTTAAAGTAAACAATGCATCACTTCAGAAACAATGCCATATTTATTCTAAAAGCAATAAAGTAAGAACAAAAAAGTTGAAATTGCTAATTCTGAAATTGAAAGAAAAACTTTGCAAGACTACTTTTTATTTTTCCACATAAACATTACTGAACTTTCGTTTGTGCTCACCATCATTCAAAAAAAATCTATGACTACAGTTATTCATTAAAGTATTCGTTTATAAGCTAACATTTGAGTCTATGAGTTATTAATTAATTCCTCAATGGCTCATTAATTTAAAATTTGTTCCCGAATAGTTGTAAAAATACCATGACCTTCCAATGAAATTTTAACTTTATGCTTTTAATTATAGAAAATAATGAATTATTATAAATTTTTGAAAACAGTTCAGTACTTTCAATTTATTTTAGCATATACTGATTAATAAATACCTGATAAGTCCCAAACTTGTTCAAATATTCACCTTAATTGATCAAAATAATACATATTAATTATTAATTATACTAATCTAATTTTTTGAACTCTACCAGTCAATCAGTTAGTCAGTGATCGAATGCGTGGAATTTTTAATAACGAAAATATAAAAACAAATTGTAACTAATAATACTGCATTCATCTCTACAATTTAAATAAAAACTTTATTTTTTAAATAATCACAGTTTCTTGTAAGTCACTCAATTTTGTGGAATAATTTTGAACTCAAGACTTTGAAAATTCGTCGATGAAAATTTGTTGCTGAATTTTTTTAATTTTTAAAAGTGAGGAAAAAGTTATCTGTTTTTGATTTAATTACTTGTATATTTATTAATGATTCAACTTAAATGACTAAAAGTAAAGTTAATTGATCTGTGATGTCAACCGCATATCAACTGATTTAACTTTGTTGAATAATCAAAAGCAATAACTTTAAAGCAATGATCTGTTCTTAAATAACTTATTCAGACATGCTTAATTTCTTTTCTGCCAAATTTTACTAACTTTTGAACTTAATCAGTCAATAAATCAATCATAGTTGATCAAACTAATCTAATTTTTTCAAACTTTATTAATCTAATAAAAGTTTTTAAATATTATCAATCAACATTTAATCAATATTTAATAATCATAACAGTGTTATCATTCGTAAATGAAAAAAGATAAACGTACCCAGCGTTCTCCATTACTGTAACTTTTGCCCATATAATCACAAACAATAGCACGTTTACCGTCTCCAAATGTTAACAATATCAGAAATATTAGCTGTAGCACCAAAGATGCTGCGTTAGATACAACTGTATCAGACATATATTAAATTCCAATTTGATTTTTGATTTTAAGTAAAAATAAGTAATTTCTTGATGAAAAAGTGCTAAAAAGTGTTCATTTATTAAACAAATAATGGCGTAAAAGTTTTACAGTTCTAAGCTATCTCATACTTCATAACATCACAACTATATAAAAAAGACAACAAACTAAAGACCAAAAATAAATAAATTTTTTAAACAATTTTTTGTTTTTTGCTTGAAAATTAAATAGAAAACGGTGAAAATTTTCAGTACTGATTGTAATAATATGTGCGCAAGACAAGTCATTGATGTCAAAACGAATTCATTAAACAGTTCGTTTTGTGCAGAAGTGGTCTTAAGTTTGCATTGGTGTTAGGGGAAGAAGTTTTGTTTTAAGATTAGACTGAATAATATTCACTCTGATGTTTGATATGAATGTTATGGTCCATACATTCATTAAGAACATTTTGATTGCCTTATTATCATTGATCATAATATCGTAAAATATCAATGGTATATGTTGTTATTATTGTTGATACTATTGATATTAAAATTATTAGTATCATTATTGTTAATATTATCACGATTATTAGTATTATTATATATTATCGGTACAGTACATGATATTATATCATACTAACATAGCATATCACTAATATTAATATTATCATCACTATCTTGATACGATATGTATTATCGTTATTATTATTAATACTGTCTTAATATGACATTACTGCTATAGTATATGGCTCTAACATTATTATAAGATGTTAATAATATTGTCATACATTTATTATCACTATTATCACAAATGCACAGTATTATTATTCTCTTTGTCTATTGATGATATTATCATACGATAAAAATAAACCATTATCAATCCGAGACCTAAATTTAGGAAAACAAAAAAATGTTCATTTGACTTTGAGCTATTACTATTTCAGCACAAATTATTATATTTTAGCGATTAAAAATAGCTGAGATACCCAAGCCAAAGATAATTTGTCATCATAACTTTTAAGGTTTAAATCAGTTAGTTTACAATATCAGACTTGTTCAAATTATTTAGACATTTTTTTTAAAGAATAAGTTAGGTTCTTAATTCTACAAACAATAATATGAATAAATCTATAGAAAATGACTATAATTGGAATTATAATTTTGCATAATTATGTTTAAAAATGTTACAGTCCCTTATTAATATCACAATATTGCGTTGAATTTGATTAAAATTACAATTTTAAATTAAGATTCGATCTGATTTTTTTAACGGAACTTTACTTTTGCTAAATATTTACTCATAGCAAATTTTTTTGTCGCTTAAAATTTACAACACATTAGAGTAAATATAATTTACGAAAATTGTAAAATCTTAGAATGTGTAGTATCATTACACATTTCAAGTTATTCTTTTTTTTTTAATTTCTTTGTTAATGCATTCTAATTAATAACCAGTTTTGATCATTTGAAAGCAAATTTAACCATGAAATCAGGCTCCATCCAATTTCGTTAATTTATTTTATCATAAGAATTGTTAATAATTGTCACACTTATACTTCTCAATATAATTTGAAAATTTAACCTCCACTGAATCTATACTTTTGTGGCTTAATGGATTTATATTCAGTGAATATTTATAAATTTAAATAAAGATGCATGAAATCTTTTATGCATCATGGAAACCTAAATTTTTATGAACCCATTCCTTGTAATATGAATAAGTATACATTTAAATATAATGATTTCAAGCAAGAACAATAATTCTTTACAGCAATTAATGATACTTCACACTTTGCAAAATTATCTTAAAAAATATCATATTTCCTGAAATATCGAACTGCTTCTGATTTAAACTTCAAACAATCAATAAAGGACTATTGGATAATTTCGAACCCATATTTTCGATCATATAAGATATTCTGAGTCCAAAATGTTTGGTTATAATAACCCCGACATGTTACTTTGTGCTACCAGTTATATACCTTAATTTGGATTTAGCAATTTATTAATGAAGTAATAGCTAAAGGAAAATTCTGCAGGAATTCAACCTCTGACCCCAAGAATGGTTTTAATTTGAAATCAAGCATAACATAAAACAAAAACCCAGATCAAATTAAATCAACATGGTGTCTGCTAAATAATTTTGGAACTGTAGCAATTTTAGTCGTATACAATAATACCATTATGTGATTAAATATTCCTATTTAATATTAATTAAATAAATATTCCTATTTAATATTATTTAAATACTACTATTCCAAAAACAATCAGACTACAATATCAAGACTCAAAAAATTTACACCATAATAGACAAAGTAATGAATACATACTTCATAAATACCCCATAAATTTTATGGTTTGGCAAAAATTAATTTCGGAATATTTTTTCGTACTTTAAGAATAGAACGAAAAAAAAACCTCCTACAGATTCGACCAATATTTTTAGACAATTTATCACTAGTAGACGTTAATGCTTTTATAAACCTTAATCGGTAATGGCGGAATTGTAATACAAAATAAATATGTACCAATGGATCACATTTCGCGAAAATGATAAAATTTTTCTTAACGGTAGGTGTCAGAATTCATATATTTCTACAAAAAACACATTGAGTACTGAAATATCCGATCCAATTATTTCATAAACAAAGAATGAATTGTTTGTAAGGTAAACTGTAAAAAAGAATGCAGATTTCAGATGAATCAACTCAAAACATTTATAAATAAAAGGCACTGGTAACATAACGAATTATAGAGCAGAAAAAAACGTGATAAAACCTTTCATCATAAGGCACAAATAAACATAAAATGTTACAGTACTGCTGATAAACAAATAAGTATAAGAAGATACTGCGTGGTCACGAAGTTTAACAGCAATTGTGTTAGAATAAATTGAAAATGAAATATATATAAAATATCACCATGATCTATGAGCATTCGAGATTATACATTGTGAAACGCTTCATCATTTACACATTTTGATACATTTTAACTTCTAAAAATAAATAAGTGAAGTATCATAATTGTAAGCAACAAATAGCTCACAAAAACGATATCTGTATATAAAATGAAATGCATTCCTTTACCAAATAAAGTAAAGAAAGAAACAAACAAAAAAATTGGTCACACTTTTTTACCCGAATTTTCATATTCGGAGAGTTTTTAATTTCGGTGAGTAATTTCTTCATAACACGCACTACATACACGAACTGGATTTTTATGTGATGCAATTTTGGCGGAAAATGATGAACATGAAGAGCAAAATATTTGCCCACACTCCCGACAATGATGTTTACGATTGGTAAGCGTAAATGGCTTGTTGCAAGCATGACAATTTCTGGCTTCTGAATCATCCAACCATTTACGAGATGCCTGTTTCGCAAAATCCATCTAAATATCAAAAATTTAAGGTGGTAAAACATTTAATAACACTTATGGCAAAATATTTTTCAGAATCATCAAATAAAGATATGAAAAAAGGTTTGCGTAGCTTCGTCTACTAATTTAAAACATGAAAGATGTAAAAGCTAGCAAACGATTAATGGTGATATTACCAAAAAAAATTAAAACACTTGTTTTCCAAGATTTTCTTTAAAAAGTGATAAGAAATATCAAGTTTGGTATTTAAGAAAAAAATTAACCTGTAGATTTTGATTTACTCTTCCAAGTTCCCTCACAGCAGTTTGAATGTCATCAAAGTTTTTTTTATTGACAGCAGCTCGCTCACGTTCAAATTCCAAATCACTTTCTGCGCTTATACATCTAAAAAATTTTTTAAATAAGAAAATTTAAATAATTTATTTCACTCAATCTTTACATTTTTAAATTAGTTATCTAAATTAGGAGATGAAAGGTATTGTAGTAACCTCTCTTGCAGTGCTCGTCTTTCTTGTAACCATTCTGCTGTCGCTTTTTCTAATTCTGCAAAAGTTTTCAGTCATAATCGAAATTACATTTTATAATGAACCAATCAAATTTTACCTAATAAACAGTATGAAATGACACCAAAAAGTATGCAGCTTACCACTTTGATGAATTCTCAACTCATCACATTCTTTCGTAATATTTGCTAAATCCTTCTTCATTCGTTCCAAATCTGCATCTTTCATTTCAACATCTTTTAAAGCATTCTTCAATTTATCTTCTTCTTCCTTTAACTGTGTATTGAGTAGTGATAAAGTCCCTTCCTCTTTCTTCTTACATTCTTGCTGTAAACATTGATAAATTAAGTACTTGAATAAAGAATTTAAAATGCAATAATGAGTTTTTGAGTGCAAACCAAGGAATGTTTCAAGAAACTGAGTTCTTTTTCGAAGCTGTTCTGCATATCCGATGTCTTCTTTTCTTGAATGCTCAATTCTTCTTGCAACTGAAGCATGAAACATACTACAATTTGAATCTCAAAATTAAAATATAACCAAAATTAAAATTATCCTTTTTGTATACCTTTAAATTATGCTTGTTCAGTTTTGATATTTCGTCTTCTAAAGCAGATTTTTCTTCCTTTTCTAAAAGTAATTGCTCACGCAAATGTTCCTATAAATGATGACTAAAATTAAAAGTTGATTACAAGTTGAAATTTTCTACAATAAATCCGCAATTAACGATTAAAACCTTTTTACAGCTTGTAATCACTAAATATATCAAAGAAACTATTATTAAACTTATAGTTAATTTATTAGGCGAGTAGCAACGACTACAGCTTTTACAAAGTAAACGAACTTACCATTTTTTTCGTTACTTCAGAAAAATCCTTTTTCTTCATGCTGAGTTCTTCATTCAATTCTGAGAACATTTCTTTTTGAGCTTTCAGCTCCTGGGAAACAGTCAAAAACACACATAAAAAATAATTTAGTAACACGAATATTGATTTCCTACAAATTAAGTCTTCAAGTTAATGCGATGCTAACTTTGATAAGAGCTACTTGGAATTACTATTTTTGGGAGAAGCTTTATTTTTAAAAAAAAAACTATATTAATACTTTTTTTTTGCATTTCCGTTACTATGCAATTTTCATTCTTCAAAGTAATTAGCTCTTTGCTCACAACAGATAGCTGTTTATTATAATTAGCAGCAACATCGGTAAAATGCTCACTCACTTCCAAACTTGTTTTTAATTCCTACAATATAAATGATGCATAAAGTCTACTACTTAAAAATCCTTTATTCCCACTATAAAAAGCTTCAAATATTGATTGTCATGCTACTTTGCTCATTACCTTCATTATCGTTTCTTTTTCGGACAAATTCTTCTCCATTGCGACTACACAATCTCTATATCGTGCACAATCTACGTCCTACAAAAATTTACAGCATTGCACAACGAAATAATTCCAAAAAAATAACCTGCAAGAAAAATTGCTAAACAGATTAAAGAATAAATTACAGTTAATAAACTGAAAATAACTTACTAATTTCAAATACCGTTGTTTTAGAGCCTCAATACTTTCATTAAGAGCAATCTTATCTTTTTCACACTCGGAAAGAGTTGACTGTAATTCTTGAATATACTTTTCATCATGTTTTTTTTGTGCCAAATTACATTCCAGCTGAAATTATCCTTATGCTGAGCAATCGTAAATTTTATTTTTCTTCATCATAAAACTTTTTCAGAGCTTAAATATTTTTACTTTTGTCGCAATAATTATGAAATTAAAATAAATATAGTTTCTTCAGTTTTTGTACTACATTTTCTTTCATAGATACGTGAACTGAAAAAGTTTCTGAAAACATGAAATTTTTTGATAATAAGAAGTGGACACAACAGTATCAACTTTTCGTATCAGAGAACAACTTTCAATACTTAAACATCAAATATGCTAAATTTACCTGTCTTTTAGCCTTTTTCAGATTGTCCATTTCCAATTTCATCGTCATCACCGTTTCTTCTAATTCTGCGCATCTTTCATCACGTCTGAATAGCGCAGCATTTTTTTCATGCAGCTCGTTAATCTATGTACACAACACTTTTACAGACAGTGTTACAGACGGTAATAACGGCAAACGATTTCATTTATATGTAGGCAATGACAGCTTTAGCAATCGCTATTTTCTACGGTCAAATTATAAAAAATTATCTGAAGGAATGACTATATTTCATGTCCAACGAATTGCATCCTCAAATAATAAATTACAGTATAAAACTCTCAATTTCGTGTCTGAGCATTGAATTAATATCTTTTGATAATTTTTTAAGCGCTAGCAACGTGAAACAAAGAACGTAAAAGATAGTTTTTGTCGCGATAAATTTGAACTAAAATAAATAACCAGCTGTTTTGCCTTTTCCTCCATTGTTGCTAGCTTTTCTATTGCTGAATGAAATTCTGCTTTTCCTTTCTCGATAATCTCTTCCATTTCTTTCATCGTCTCATCTTTCCCTTCTAACATTTTCATTAACTGCAAAAGCTAACTCACTGGAAAAACAAAATAGGCTAGATAAGCCTATCAAAACAAAAATACAATAAATATTATGGTATTTGGACACACCACAAAACGAACTCATGCTTCACTCTAAAAAATAAATCAAGTATCTTTTATCACAACATTATTGCTTCTATATCTGTCCTAACAGATTAGTTTGTAAACAATCATCGCTGAGTTGAATATCAATGATATTAATAGATCAGTCCTGTCAAAGATCATTTGATAACAAGAACTATCTCCCTATTTGAAGTATCTATGAGCATCCAAAAGAATGAATATGATGAACCTTCTCATTTTCTTCCTTAAAAGAATAAAATTTCAATGATGATTCATGCAATTTTGTTTTGAGATTCTTCACTGCTTCTCTTTCAATACTCAACTTTGTTTCCCAATTCTTGTTCTGATTTGATATTGTTTCTTCATATCTGCACTTGAGTGATGTGAGCTTTTTATTTAGCTCACTAACTGTTCTCTCAAGAAAGAGTTTTTCATGTTGCATTTTTTCTATCATAACTTTTTCCGCTCCAAAACCTTCAGAAATCTGAAAAAATTTTTCAACTAAAAAAATATAACTAACAAACTGATGATTCGGAATTGTAAAACAGATAAGATATTTAGAACTTTGAAGCAAATGCAATGAAAAAAATGAACAGATTAGAGATTTAATTTTTATAAAAGATGTGTTAAATGTAGAACAAACTTTTTTCATTAAAGAAGATTCCTTCGTCTCTGCATTTTTTAGATTTAGTTTCAAAACGTTTTCAGTCGCTGCTGCCTTTTCTAACAACTTTTGTTGTTTTGAAATATGTTCTTTCAACTGCTGAATCTCTTCCTTATACTTTTTTATTGCTTCTTCCTTCCCAGCCATCTATATTTTCCAAAAGTTTTACACTGATTTTACAAAAATTTGGCTATTTCGAGGATGAATATCAATAGTTTTACTGCAAGTTTTTTTTCCTTTAAAAGAAAATGTTAATGACACTACATGTTGCTTCATGTTTTGATATTATTCTTCTGTTTGTGAAATAGGCATAAATTTTAACTGCATCATGGATATGGACAATTTTTTAACCAATATTTCTTTATTAAACGTTATTTCTGAAATTAAAGTTTAAATAATAGTCAAGAAAGACATTAAAGGCAATGGAATTCAAGGTACTAAAAAATAATCAGACAACGTATGCAATATCATAACAATAGGCTTCAAAAATCTTTACTTACCATCTCCACAGCTTTATCGCAATTTTCTAGTTGTTTTGTAAGCTCGACTTTATCACATATATTATTGCTAATCTTATTTTGATATTTACGCACAATACATTGTATTGAATCAATTTTACTAGAAACACAGTCGATTTTTTCATTCGCAGCTAGTGCTTTCTCCTGCAACACAAAACGAGTAACAATTTAGTATGTGGATTCCCTGAGATGATGAAAAATATACCTCCCACACGTTTGCAGATGTACTAAACTCTTCGAGAAATTGTTTGGCTCGCACTTGAAATCTGAAATATGTTTACAAGAGACAAAATATTACATAAGAAATTGGAGATGATCAATGAATTTAATATAGAAGTTCCTAAAAACTTACGTAATGATATTGTTCTTAAACTGTTCGACATTATTTTTCAGATTTTCAACTTCATAAGCTAATCTAAAGAAATGTCATATTAGGAAGTAAGCAGCAGTGTAGCAAGTTGTATTCAAACTTTTCCTACGCGAAAATAAGAGAATAGAGATTATTTAGAAATGAATATCTACTTTTTACAGTCTCTTTCGGTGTTATGTATTGTATCAATATATTTCTTGATTTCGCTTTCTTTTTTTTGTGTTATAGTATCCATAAGTTGCTGAGCATGTACGAGTTCCTTTCTAAGCACACTCACATCATCCTCTGACGGTCTTAAATGAGATAGACGGATAAGATCATAAATAAATATAAAACTATAAAAATAGCTGCATTTATGAAAATTATTAATAAGATAAATACGTATGATAAGATATAACTAGCTACCTCTGATCAAGTTTTGTTTGCAAAATTTCAGTTTGTGCTTCCAAATTCTGCATTTCTTGCCGATACCTTACTAACTCATCACCTAACAGTGTTTTCTCCTGATTTTTTTCTTCAACCTCATTTATTTTTCCAGCATAATCTTTCGAAAGTTCTCCAATTTTTTTAATCAAAACAATTTTTTCTTGTTTTAGCTGCTGAATATGTCGACTCATAGTTTTAATGCTCTTCTCCATCTCCAACATTCGTTCTGCTGCTGAAAAAGAAAGCAAAATTGTATTTTCATAATGGTCAGTCTGAAAAACACAGCTTGACATACATAAGAAAGAAAATCACCTAAAGCTTTACCAGCTTGCAGCAGATGTAATTGCTGTGTGAAATAAGGCACTTCATCCTAAAACTTGATATGTTTTAGCAAGATTTTCAAGAAGTCAATAAATTTAAACCTCTTTGTCACTAAATATTGACAAACTTCAGATAATTCCTCTTGTTTTGCAATAATATTATGCAGTCCATCTAATTCTTTCCTGAGCTCAGCTGAATAACATTTTTCATCTAGCAACTGCGATTCAATTTCTTTAGTATCCGTTTCAAGATGGCCTTCTTTTGGTCCATCAAAACCATTACCTATAAAAAAAGATATTCTAAAACCGTTCAAAACAATTTAAAAAAAGACCTTACAAGTTCTAAGGTGCAGTCTCCAATATAGCACCACGATATGATCATGGAATAATCAAATCAATTTAAAACACACCAATTAATTCCGATGAAGTTGAACTACTAATTTCGCAATCTCCAATCTGAAAACTTTTTTTAGCTCATAAATCAATGTAAAAAATGACTCGAAAGTAAGAAAGAAAGATTAGATAATCTTAAAATTTTTGAATTACGTTTTTAGGGCTGATTAATATTTTTAAATATGCAAATTAATTTGCATAAAAAATAATTCGATTTAAGATAAGCACTTTAAATTTGTAAACTGAGCAAAATATCACATTTACTTTGGATATCTGTTGCACTGCATGCACTTGAAAATGTGCTTTTAACTGATCTGGCGATGTATGAGATTGCATGCAAATAGGACAAAGAAATCCCTGCGGTGATGTGTCATCATTTTCGTTGTACAATGGTTCGTGCTGAGGCTTAAAATAACTTTTGATATGATTTTTGAGTATTACCATTTAAGATAAATGGATTGGACAGAAATACGATCAAATGAGATTAGGTACATATCCAATACAATTTTTAATTTCAAAAATATACTTCTTTTATTTTGAAGCATTAACAACGAAAGTAAAAAAAAACCTGTTGAGAGTTGACGTTATTAACTGCTTGAGCCACCTGCTGCTTCAGTTTCCGCAACATTTTGAAAGTATATAAAGTAACAGTAGACTTCTGACGTTCACGCGATATAAAAAATTTTGCTGGGAAAATTAGAAAATACACGAATTACGTGACGGGATTTTAATTGAATCGAAGAGTACTGACTTTCTAAACAGCAATGAACGTTAATATAAAGTAAAAGTGTTCCTTCTGATTATTTTGAAATTTTTTACGAAAAAAAGGCACTGTGATACATACAAATCAAGTTACAAGCGGTTTACGTTCTTATATCTAACTAATTCTGCTATTAATTTTCAGAACTGCTCACGTAAACGTCAAAAATGTCCCTGCTTGCATCACTTAGGTGTTATAAACTGAAGCAAAGTGTAAATCAGACACGCAATGTACGAGAACAGCCACACCTAAGGCGTGGTGAAATGAAAATGAAATTTGTAGAAATATTGAACCTTTAAGTCGAGGAAGGAAAAGATAAAAAGAGAGCATTGAAAGAGGCGAGAGTGAAAAATTTTTAAGATGACGGAATATGAGAGAAATATACGAAAAAGAAAAAACACAAATGACGTTTAAGACGAACCTCTTAATGAAGTAAAGCGTCAAAATCTTCACGCAAGAGTTTGTTTTTCGTATATAAAAACGAAAAAAGCAAATCATGAAAATCTGTTACAAATGTAAGGCCGAAGAAGTTCAGAAGTTTCTTGACGAGATAGGATTAGAGGCGAATCCAGAAAAGTCAGCCACTAATACCGCGGTATGAACTGATAATAAGGTGCTGTTGGCACTTAAGGGTACAAATAACTCGGAATACTGGAAGATTCCTATCTTCCTGCTCACGTAAGAAGATTCCTATCTTCCAGTATTCCGAGCTATTTGTACCCTTAAGTGGACTAGTCAGATTTATTCGCAACCAATGTAGTCAAAAAATATTGCACTTTTACCGTTTTAAGGTAAACAAAATTACTCATCAAACTTTACGCTTAATCACATAAACGTATTGCATGGACTACATGAGGCATAAACTGACCACGCTTAAATGATGCATACATGCTGCTCAATATTTATATAACTTTTCGCGACAGTTCCGTCAATCACAATATGCTGAGCAAAAAATAAGCATGCTCTGCATCATATTTGGCGCAAAAAAGTTTGCGTTTACGTTTCCTGAAACCGAACACGTCTAAGTGCACAAAATGTGACTAGTTACATTTAGTCATCTTCCTATATTTATGCAAATTTATGTGATAATTTGTTTCACTTTGTCCTTATTAAATTTCGTAATATTTTTCCACTCAAACAGTATAGTAACTGTTTATTTAATAGAGCGAATAAGTGCATGAATTACTGAATAATTTTTGCACATTACAAATCAATAAAACTAATAATATGCAAAAATATCAATTGCAAAATTAATTCTCATTTAATTAACATTATGCAAATTTTTAATCTCTTTTTTTCTTTGGTCTTGTATCACTGCTTTCCTCTTTTTCATCTTCATCTTCATCCTCATCTTCATCTTCATCTTCATC